CCCGGCCGGGCTGGGGCCAAGCCCCCGCCGCCTCTCGCCTCGCGGGGCCGCGGCAGCAGCAGCAGCATGTCCGGCTCGGGGAGGAAAGACTTTGACGTGAAGCACATCTTGCGCCTCCGCTGGAAACTGTTCAGCCACCCGTCGGCGCCCGGCGGGCCGGCGGGGGGTGGCTGCCTGCAGCAGGACGGTGGCTTCGAGCACTGGGGGCCCAGCCAGAGCCGCCTGCTGAAGGGCCAGGAGCGGGGCAGCGGCGCCTTCTGGAAGAAGCCTTCCTCCTCCTCGTCGTCCTCGTCCTCCTCTTCGTCGTCCTCCTGCTGCCCCAGCACCCCGCTCAATGGCACTCTGACCCGCCTGCAGCCCGGCGGGCATGGGCTGGGCCAGCCCCAGCACCCGGCGCCCAGGACCATCTTCTACGTGGAGGCCCTGGAGGAGGAGGAGGTGGTGGTGCCCGGTGGGATGGAGGTCACCCCGGAGCAGGAGAAGAAGGCCCTGGGGGTGCCAGAGGTGAAGGAGGGCTACTTGGATGGCAGCGGCCAGGCAACAGGTGAAGGATGTGGACACAGGTACAGTCATCCCCCTAGGGACCAGCCTGGGATGGGGTGGGAGGACAGTGGTGACATGTCCCAGGAGGTGCCTTGGTTCCCTCCCAGCCACCTCCAACTATCTCACTCTGGGTCTGGTGAGTTTGATGATGGAGCCAATAAAAAAGTTTCTCAGAGGTGCCCCCACCTCTAACCAGGGGTGATCATCTGGACAGCTTGGCTCCCACCACAGGTGCCACACAGTGAGGCCAGCCCTGTGGTTGCCACAGGCGACAGGCTTGTTGGCATCTACTCTCTCTTTTTCCATTCCCCACCCCCCCTCATAATTTTACCCACAGCAGAACATGATGAGAAACCTTCGAGGTAAAGTCACCAGCAGGTTATGAGGCAGGGCTGGAAGAGATGGGCCAGTGCCTGAAACGTGCAGACAAAAGTTTGATTAAAAAGTAATCAGCGGCCTGAAGGTGTGATTCCTTGTTTCCTTCCTTAGTTATCCGCTTGCTAAAGAATAGTTGGCTTGGTATTCTCTCTCTTCAAGTATATCACCTGGGTAAGCAAGTCGTGGGACAACCCACTGAATAGAAAGTTAAGTGTGTCCCTTAAAAATTCGGGGCTGGCCATCCTGAGGAGGGTCAGTGGTATCTGGGAAAATTCATGGTTAATCACATACTTACCAGAACTTGAAAGTTGCTTTTAGATACTTGCTTTTCTTATAGGAAAGTTTTTCTGTCAGGTGGTTGGTTCACTTGCTCTCCGGAGGAAAAATGCAAGCAAAATATAAAATAATAACTAATTTCTTCAAAGTCTGAAGTGTAATTGGCATACAATTCAAAGGTTTCCAGGGACTTTGATGCAACTGAGGCTAAAAAGTAGGTCCCAGAGGACCTTCAACTCCACATTAGTCTGGCTCAACTTGCCTTCCTTTCCCTATTATTTAAAACCATTTTAATTGCATTTCTTTTCTCCTGTACTTTTTCTTTATAAACTAAATGTGCAATTTTATTTATTAAAAGAAAGGAAAATCTTAACATTTCATGCATTCCATAGATGATTCCTGTTCACTGCATTGCAAATAAAGTTAAAGTTACTAAGTTAAATATTTTATTACATACCAAGACAACTCTGTAAATAATCTCAGACTGCATTAGTTAACACTTTTAGTTTGGCAGAAAGCACGTTAGAGTATGTGGAGAAACACAATTCAACATATTTTCTAAAGCTAGGCTTTTCATAAAAAATCAATTATTATAGTTCATTTCACAGTAACTACTTTGTTTAAACAACTGCAGTACATTCAAGGCTCAAGTCAGAATACATTGTTAAAATGGGAGGTCAGTGATGCTAAAGTTTTAACCTATACTGGAGATAATCATTCATAACCAGTTGGATGTTTAATATAGTATTAAAGATACAAATTGTTAGCAAGGAAAACTACTCACTCTTCATAATAAATACTTGAACTGCACTCATCAGGTAAAAAAATGTACCTGGTTCTTATATATTTTCTTTGCACACACTTCATATTGGGAACATCATTGACTTAAGGGTCCTCAGAGATTCTGTAGACTGGGAAAGGAAAAAATATTTCCTAGCTTACTGAATGTTAATGGAACTACTTAATTTCTTCATAAGGATAGGTATGATCAAATGGATTTTTCTCGCTTATATATGCATTTTGTGATAATGTGTTATTGATGAATAATGTGTGTTCTTGATTTTGCAAACTGTGTGGGCTCTATACTTCTGATTTACTGACACTTCAGTAGTCACCATTGCTGCCATTGTTTTGTTCAACTTCTGTATTATAGAATATATACTGAGTAGATAAAATGGTTAATGAGTTAAATACACTTTTCCCTCTGGGGGGGGGGGAAATTTGTATTGTTTACAGTAATTTTATAATCCAGGATTTTTTTTTTCCCCACCAGGATAATATCTGTCTAACTCTTTCAGTTTTGAATGCCATGGGGAGACATTAGAAAGTACTGAGAATTTATTTGTTACGGTTAGGTGTCATCAGTTTATCTTTCTGATACCATTCTGCACAGTGTACTACATATAATTCTACAGTCATTAAAAGTGATTAACACCCAATTTGAACCTACTCTAAACTGGTTTGACCAGTTAGAGTCCTCTTTTCTACAGAAGCAAAATTTTCTATAATTAGTACTAACTTCACTGTGTCTGTTGCATATATGATCTATACTTCACTTTTGAATAACAGGTTGTGTTCAGATTTGTGACATAAATGCACATCCTTCAAGTACACGCCAGTACAATTTGTTAATTTAAGTTTGTTCAAGTTTTTGCTCCCTTGTTCACACATTTTTGACGTGCAACTCAAGACTGCTCTGTACTTCAAATTTCCAGTTGATAAATGGTTCCAAGGGTTTGCCATTTCATTTTGTGATGTCAGAATATATTGACAACCTTTAGAACTTTTGTGAGGTAAGAGACCTTCCTATTCCAGAATGTACCCATGGTTGGGACTCTCATTTAGGATGTGGGTGAACCAGTTACTGTTCTGCTTGGGTTGGACAGGGACGTTTAATTCAGGTTTTCCACACTTTATTTGAGTGTCTTTGGCTCTCCCATATGTGGTCTGTCAGAATTTCTGGTCAATTTCTATCTGGGAACAGAAAGATTGGACTAAGTTTTGTCTAAACATATGCATAAAGTGTGTGTGTATGTATTTATACTGACCCTGCAAACTCACTCACTACAAAACTAATTTTTTTAAGGTGGCATATTTCATACCTATAATTATGTTAACTCATGGTTTTTTTTTAAAAGTATTTAAGCAGAAAATTATGTCATTTTAAAACTTTATATTTCAGAATGGTAGTATAGCTATGTTATAAGAAATATAAAAGCATGTATATAGTAACAAATCGTTTATGAAAACTAAGGAAACATTTGCTTTTTCTTCATGATAATGACCTTTTTATTTATAAGAATATTATGTTATGAAAAGGGTTTTTTTCCTAAAATTTTAAATATATATTTCCATATCTGGTGTCTTGAAAGAATGTACAATTCTTTAAAGTTAACGCATTCTTAACATAAAGGCAGTCTGAAAAATTAGAGTTAGTTCCTTATGTGTATAATTAAAGCCATAAGTAGGCATATCAGTAGCATCTTCATACGTAGACTAAATGTATTATATCACTTATGGCTGATATGAACCTTATTTCTTCCTTTGCATTCTGATGTGCAGTCACAGTCCAGGAACGAGAAGAGTTTCCCATTTTATTGACATAAAATTTTATGCTTATGGTCTTTAACAACACATCTCTTCTTGGTAATTCCCAACTCTTGACAAAGGCTTAATCTTTACATCTGTACTAAAAACTTACCTATTTATCTTAGTTACTTGGACTCCTTATTGTATTATTTATTTACAATAATTGTAATTAATTATTTATAATAATTGTATTGCTCTATGCAATTTTGAACAAATTATTTAAAAAAACACATATAGTTCTATTGTTCATCTCCAGAGAATTTTCCGTGTGGCTAATCCTGCAAACATTATGCACGTGATTAATGTTATGTATGTGAGCAGAAAAATGTGGATTTTGGTTTAGTTTTTTCAACTCATGTTGGGGATTTTTTTTTAAATCAGAGAAAACCAGGATCCCTAGCGTTCAGTAAATTAAATGCAATTTATTTATTCTGCTTGAAAGATTACGTAGGTTGCTTAGAAATAACCATAGCAGACAAATCAAGTATGATCTGTAATAGATTTTTTTTTCATGTAGTTTATTAAGGAACATTGTTAAGGTTTTAAAAATTAATAAGGTCCAGAATTAAGATGGCCCACGCAACTTTAATTCACCCCTATGTGTATTTGCATAATGATACAGTTTTAAATTACATGGTAGCATACACAGGTTTTCTACAGGACCCAGTCTTATTCAGTGAAAAAGATTTACATACTTATTTAAAGGGGAGGAGTGAATATTTTAGGTTCTCCGTATTGTTTAGTGTTTAGCACCATGCCTCATTTACTTTTCAGTATTCAAGACTTACCATAGAACAAATTTATTAACTTACCCATGGACTTTTCTGTGGCATTTATTATTGAATATCTGAGTGCTTCAAATGCAGTACGAAATTATTCTCAATACTATTGTATTTTTCAAATAGAAAGCTGAATCACAAAGACACTCATTCATAATTTTCAATGACAAAAACGGAGTTGCCTAGAACATACTTTTTCAGAGTACAGAGCAATATACAGCTAGCACTTTTTATGGCTGCAGCACATTAGCTTCAGTTGCATCTGTGAGTGCTTTTCTACCTTGCAAACCAAGATCCTGCAACCAAAGAGCACTTGAGAAAGTTTAGTTTAAATGATATGTATATCATCTTATAAAAACTCTGTGGCAGGGATAGAATCCAATTCTCTAGGGAATCCTTAAACTATGGAAATCTTAAGTGCCACTTTTGTTCCTTGATCATTCAACACACAGTTTTCAACTTCTGCAAGGGTCATATACACAACTGTCTCCTTCATAATATACCCCTGATTCAGTTTTACTTTAGGTATGTGATCATTAACTAAAGACTGAATTATAATACATTGCAATTATAATGCATGTGCACTTGAGTGCTCAATTAAGGTTACTCTGTGGAGATAGTACATATACTTTCTGCTCAGCACTAGGTGCTGAGAGAGAAAGATGATCATGCTCAGTGAGAAAAGAATATTTGTAGAAATTATCTGCTAAAAGCAGATGCCTCTACTGAGCATGGTTGAACTGTTAATTAAAAAAAAGCTTATAACCTAGACAAAATGTGGTAGATTTGCACAGTTGGCAGAAAGCACCCCTCTGAGACAGCCTTTTTGCCTTTCCCTCCAGGAGATATCAGTCTTTCTGCAAGTGTCATTAAAATGGTTCACAGAAAAGGTGGCCAGAATTTTTAACGTCATTTTTTTTTTGTAATCTCACTTTTAGAAATGGTTAAACAAGTTGGCTGAAATTTTCAAAAAATCAGCCTGAGGCAGACACCTAACA